CGAAGCAGGTCTGACTCCTGGAATAACCTATTATATTACTATGTGGTATAAAAGACAAGAACAAGGTTTTAGAATGGGATTAATTCTGTCCTCAACATCACTTGGTGGTGCTTTTAGTGGATTATTAGCTTATGCAATTGCAAGTCTTACGGATGAAGATTCACCTTTAAAAGGATGGCAATTGGTATGTCGATTTCTTATACAGTATCAAAAGCAATTATATAATGTTTGCATTGTTGATATTTATATTGTCTAATGCGATAATGTTATTCATTCCGTTTTATGTAACAGATTTTTCTAATTGATGGTTTGGTTTCCATTATAGTTGCTATTATTGCATATATTTATATCACTGATTATCCAGATGAAGCCAAGTGGCTTAACCAAGAAGAGCGGTCATTGGCAGTTTTAAGGTTAAAACTTGACGATGATGATGAGGATTATAAAAAAGCTCGAGAACACTCATTTGACAAGGTTTATGTACTAGAATGTTTGAAGGATTGGGTATGATAGATTATTTTTTATTTTATGTTATTTAAAATGATTTTGTCATCACTTTTTTTTCATTATAGTTAATTTTTCATTTAGAAAGTGTACATATCGATGCTCATTTTATTAGGCATTACTACCACAATTTATTCATTTGTATTTTTTGTTCCTTCAATCGTCAATGGAATTGGTTTTGATGAAGGCAAGCATGAAAAAAAATAATAAAGCATGAGATTTTACATAATTTCCTAATCTCTATTACAATCTTTATTATTACATATTACACTTTAAAGTTATATCTCAATTATTGGTGGCACCTCCATTTTTGTTTGGCTTTATCTCACAATTAGTAGTAACAGCTTTATCTGATCGTACGAATCTTCGTGGTCCTTTTGTAATGTCATTTGCCTCAATTGGAGTCGTGGGATACATAGTTATTTTGTATTCTGTAAATTTGAGGGCTATGTTTGGTTAATATTTCAAATTCTCGTACATTAATTAGTGTTGTTATTATCATTATTATTTTTATTCACATTTTTTATTATTCGTTTATATAGTGAAATATATAGCAACTTTTATTATATCAATAGGTGTAGCTCCATGTAGCGCTATTGCTATTGTATGGTAGATATGAGATTCTTTGCATTTAAATAATCCAATTTCATATAAGTACTAAAATCTTTTTACTCTTAATTTATATCAATCCAAAAGGCTGTCAAACAACCTGTCACCACCACTAAAACGTAACATAGGTGTTGCAATGATGATAAGTTGTGCTAACTGTGGAGGTATAATTGCCGCTCAGATATATCGTTCTGTAGATTACCCTAATTACGTGCGTGGTCATATTTTTGCATCAGGTTTCTTATTAGCAGTCGTTTGTTTGAGCGCAATCCAGTATGGAATGTTAGGCCGACTTAATGAGTTGAAAGAAAAGGAAAAAATTAGCCATAAAACTTCTGATCATAAGAGTATTAAAGAAGATAAAAAGGAATTAGGTGATAAACATTATAAATTTAAATATATTTTGTAAAATATAGATATGGTCTTTTGGAAGGGCAAGGAGCAATTTACCAATGAAAGATGGTTAGATAATACATGACATTTAAAATGAATTTAAGGTGTCCCATGTACATTAGTTAATTGAAGAAATCATAAACAAATTCTACATCTGGAAAATGTATTAAACGATTCTAGCATCGCCCCATAAAAAAATGTTGCCATTATGTCACTAATATAATCATGATTGTGGAATCGAGATTGAGTTTATGTAAATTAAGCTATATTGCCTATATATTAACAGAAATACAAAAAAAAAAAAAAAACTATCAAAATCGTTTGTAATAAGTGACAATTGAACAAGTCGTGAAGATTTTAATAACAAAGAAAGCAATTGACAACTTGTTAGAAATGTCAATAAATGAGAAAATTTCATATCTAATGGCAATACAAACTCAAGAATTCGACACCAGGAGTGAATTGGTTGTTAGTTTCGAAGTTATTACTGTATTAATGAATTTGTCTAGATATAATTTTATGTTGATATGTTAGCGACATTTTCTGGGCAATGCAACATGACATGATAGGAAAATATATTCACTAATACAGCAATACTGTAATATATGTAAGATTAATATTTTTTACTAAAGTTACACAGCTCACTAGGGTGTTCAAAATACTAGTAAATCAAATCATAGTCGGGGTACATATTTAAGGATTTTTTATCGGTTTTTTAAATAATATCGGAAATTTCGGAAAATTTAACTTTCATTTATTATTGTCTTTATTGCATTGTTTTATAAATGCAAAAAAAAAATTTAAAACAACTACTAAAGGTACACTTTTTGAGCGAAGAATATACTTTTTTTATGTCATATTTTTTTTAATCGATAGCTTTTATTACTCTCTTTTCAATAACAACGTCGGTTTTTCAATTTCAATAGCTTTATATCTGTCAAATTTAGGTAAAGTTCATTTAAATTGTTAACAAATTTACTCTTATAAAATAGCGTAAATTGAAAAAATGGCTCTATTACACTAAAGTATACAATTTGCACTATCTTTTTAAAAAAAATTGAACATTAATTATTATACTAGTTCAAGAGAAAAGCGTACCGAAAGTTGATATTATCCGCAGTAAATTCGGATTTTCATAAAAAATCTATCATATGCAACCCTAATTAATGTTTGATTTACTAGTATTTTGAACACCCTAACAGCTCACCCCAAAAATTTGCTACGGCATAGCATTCACGTGCTTATGGGCACAACACTGACCGGCATTACTAAAATAACGTTAACTCTAACTCTGGCCGGATTTTTGGGGTGAGTCATGTAACTTCATTAAAATTATTTCATGGAACAAAAAATAGCTGCGAAGAACTTGTAAAGAGGTAAATATTTATAATTTGAATTTATAATTTAGTAATTGTTATTCATTTATTAATATTTATAATTTAATTATGTGACATCATGAAAATTCTACAACAAAAGTTTATTTACCGTTATAATAAAAATATAACAAATACGTATCGCCCATGGGTCAATAAAAAAAAAGATTTTAACAAAAGTCAAGATTTTTACATGATTGTGCATACTGCAGGAATTGTACTGACGTACTATACCAGATACTGTTTTTTACGAATTATAATTGTTAAACAAAATCTAGAGGTTTTGTGCCGGTGAAATCGAAACCCTAATTTCGATTTTTGTTAAAAAAAAAAAAATGAAATGGAAATGTGGTGAAACTGGCGAAACTAGGAATTGATAAAACTCTTTCCCTTACATCCCAATTTCTATAGTAAATAAAAAATCGATACATAAAATTTGACAACCTAGTAAATAAATAATTAATTATACAAAGAAAAAGACTACAAAGCACACCAATACTCCACTATACTACCCTCCTAAGTAACCAAGATAAAGCGAAAGCAAGACAGCAGAAACTACACCACTGACAACAAAGAAAACACAAGGTCTTTGGGCTCTATAGCACCCTTTACGCTATCAGTCCAACCACAACTTCAAATGGGTGACCATAACAGCAACAACAAGGGCAAAAGTAAAGGCAAAACAAAAGTCTTAGCTAAGCTTGACTTCACATATAATGATACTAGTTCAAAAAGACAACATACACTCCTTCCTAGACTACACCAAAATACCAAAAGTGGGCCATCTAGCTTGCCCCCAATAAAAAACAGCATGACATCATCACACCAAAACAACAACAACAACCAACTCGTCCAAACCGGTTTTAACAACATCCAAACAGAAACCACGGGAAAAAACAACAATACAACAATAATTTTCTACAACAACAGCCCCAATATTACCATATTAGGCAACACATCCTACACCAACAACAACAACAACAACACAGCCATGCCCCAGACCAACACCAACAATGCAACAACAAGAAACATAGATAATGCAACAACAACCAACCCTGAAGTATCAACTGATACACAACATAATAACCATATGGAAACTGACACAGCCTTCACAATATCTGCATAACATGAAGTTCCTAATACACTTACATACAGCCAAGCTGCTAAGAAGAATTTGACCAACAACACAATGCAAATAGATGAAGATCTAACCCAGAAATGGCTAGAACACATACATACAGAAATGATAAAAAAAATCATGCAACCTTTTAACACAAACACATGGCAGTATAACAAAATGATTACCAACTTTCAATCCAACACAGGGCTTCAAGAATTTATAAAATACAAAATTGCAACTAAACCCACTAATAAATATATCCCTCCAGCTATATTAGCCAGGTTCAAACATCTAGACCGCGCATTTTTCCTTACCTTTACCAAAGCAAAAAGATTCACACCACAGCACCAAATAGAATATGAAGAACTATTTCATAATGCATTACAAAACTACAAGAAAACAAATCAGATCACTATAACTAATAGAGAAACACGAGACATCATCCACCAGAAACTTCGACAAAAATCTTTCTAGATTATATAATCAACACAAACTTCAACACATGTTCTCATAAACATATCATGCACCTAGTAAAATATTACAAAGAATTTACTAAAGATACAACACTCAAAACTCATGACGAAATCCAAAAGGCAGTCCAAGAAGTCTTTGCAGAGAAGTTACAATAACTACCTAGTGATTCAGATAAGATTCCAGAATATATACAACAGATGTTACCTTTCACCCTGCCTATAAACAACAAGGCACATACAAAAGCTATTGTTACAGCACTTCACCAAATCTATAGATTTGACCAGCTTCCAGAAGAATACTTTACAAGCCTTGACTCTCTTCCTACTAATATTGCTAACCTTCACCCAGCAGTAAGAGATCTATTCCCAATTACCGATAGAAAATGCCTGAGAGAATTAGGCTACTACAAAAGGCAACTGAGCCTATACCAAAATTCCACCCCACTTCTTCGAATTACCACCACCAAAAGCTCGCCTACCATTAGCATATCAAGACCTTAGTCCCAAATATAGAAGGCACTTCTCTATCGATCCAAATGATGTCCATGGCAACACACAAAAAATTTTAGAAGAACTATAAGAAGAATATACCTTCAAAAACTTACCAAATGACTACTACCAAGTGAAACTACCCCTGCTAAAGACTTTACCAAAATCAAAACTCTGAAGGAATATATATATCTAATTACTAAAAAGCAGGAAGCTATTGACTTCATCAATAATATTAGCTCAACATATAAGTTCAATCAACCTTTACCTCCAGAAATTATGATAGTCAACTCTACAGAAAAGCCTAACCTCCCGGATGACTTACAATTAATCACAGAATATAGTATACTAATCTCTATCACATCTACCAAAACCCTAACTGAGGTAGCTAGGTTGCTAAGAGAAACATATTATTTCTACTGTATCTCAGACTCATGGATAAAAATTCACGCTAATCCAACAGAAGTCAACGAGCCTACAAATAATTTGATAGAAAAACCTATAATACTAGATGAAATAGACAAAATCCTTACCTATCTAAAGAATAACAACATCGACACAACCCAGCTAATTCTCCTTATCACAACTCAGAAATCTGTTTCAGAAACTCTCAGCATTCTACATCAGTATTTTACAATCAAAACCATACCCAGCAACATCTTAGATCTTCCACCTCTCCCAGAGCCCACCTGGGGAATATTCTCTCAACAACAATGATTTAGTCTAACAACCGGGAAGTCAAACCCAAACCATCAACATCACAATCAAATACAATTACAATCTAAACAACAAACATTAGTATTACTAAACATGAATATGACAATGCACCACCCATACAAGACAGAATTTCAATAGCCATACACAACATCCAAGGCCTTAACACCAAGCTAAAAACTTAACTATGGCTTGAGTTCTGTAATGAACAACAATATCACATAATAAGTATAATC